TTTGAGGGGTTTCACTTCTTTGCAAAGGATATCTGATCACCTTTGAAGTTTCCAAGTGTTGATGTCATGTCTTCAAATCTACCATAAAAGCTCATACCACCTGGGAAGAAAATTGATTTACCCAAAGCAATCAAATCACGAACATCTGAGCTACGTTCTGCTCTCACAGTTCTAGTCCCACCTCCTTTTGCAAGGCGAACTCCAACATACCTATTCTGTTGCGGGTCATAGTGCAGCCAGCCAAACTGAACTTTACGGTAGCCATTTATAATTTGGTTAGAGGGTCCTGGCTCTGTACTTGCCTTTTCTTCGGCTCTCTTTTTCTTTGGTTTTACCCTTTTTTTGAGGAGATCAAGCAGCTTTCTTTTCTTCTCATCTCTACTCTCACCTCGCAACTTTTCATTTACAAAGCTTCTTAAGGACAGCAGATCTCCCCTTCGCAATGGTCCTAACTCTTGCAATTGTTCATCTGAGGCAGTATTTACTGCCGAATAATCCATCTAAAAAATAGGAAATAGAAACTGCATTAAAATTATAAATGCCATCAATACAGCAACGTCTGAAAAAGGAATATTATTTCCTTCTATCTGGTTGATTCATTTTAACGAGTTTCAAACTTATTCAAGTCCATGAATTTGCATCTGACTGGATGGTAAAGATCTCTGACGAGTCTAATTAATGATTGTTTCCTGGCTGTTTATGTTTGATCCTTTCAATATTTCTATTTAAGGGTTATGCAACGCATTTTTGACGCATGCAAAGGTGGCTCAAACAGCGGTGAACTACAGCAGTGGGGAAGACAAGTTAGGATAGTTATTTATCGAAAAAACTATCGGGATGGTGATCATGTCCAGACAATTAAGTTCACTGCATACCTTCTCGTTCCTGAATCGAGCGATCACTTCGTCTCCAATCTCTCTTTTTGCGAGAAACTCGCATATCTATAAGCAGAAAAATGCGTTAAGTTGAAATCTGCGCTATTTTATGCAAATTTAGTGAATTCCAGTGAATACCGTGAACCTGAGAGTTATTTACCTCATTGATTTCGGTTTCGAGTTCCGCCATCTTCTCTTGAGAAGCAACTTGAGCCCGCATTACTTCGGTCGCTAAAAAGTCGCTAAAAAAGTCGCTAAAAAAGTCGCTAAAAAAGTCGCTAAAAAAGTCGCTAAAAAAGTCGCTAAAAAAGTCGCTAAAAAAGTCGCTAAAAAAGTCGCTAAAAAAGTCGCTAAAAAAGTCGCTAAAAAAGTCGCTAACAAGTCCAATTCTGTCCTCAGTAACATGGGTGACTTCAGGATTGTTTTGGCTGTAGGATTAGTGAGCATGTAAATGTAAGTTCCCTGGATCATTAACTTCAACATCTTTACAGATTACAAACAACACTTTTTAGCATTGGTGGAATGGTTGTGGTTTTATTCTTCATAAAATTAACACATTTCTTACTCTTTCCAACGAAGATTTTGAATTGATAAAATAAATTTTCATTTCATAAAATTCCACACAGACACAAACAGCCCAACTCTGTAAAATTATTACAATGTGCACAGTCATTCCATTTGAATGCAGTGACATGCAGAGTAGAAAAAATGGTAATGCACCTACTGGAATGCTGATGGATTCTAGTCAATAGGTAGTGGGTTTATTCTAATTATGTTATAACAATGTCTAATTGAAAAGCACATTGTACTTCAAATATGTAATAAACATCGATTAACATCACTTTTTCAGTTCATGGGCTAACAACATGACCACTTACGTGGCAAAGTCCCTTTCCATAAAGGCTGTTGGTAAGGTCGCATTGAAGTTGAAATCATCCATAGTACACCATAGATCAGGTACTGTGACATCCAGGTTGCTTAAATCTTCCAGATTTCCAAATCCTAGAAAGTTTAATCCATCTTCAGGATAAGAAGGCATGCCCTGTGTTTCCTGCATATTCAATATGGATTTGTCTGCCACCATAACAGATAATGATGGCATCAGTTCTGGCAGCCCACACCCTGAAAGGGCAAATGATTCTGGCTTGGTACTTAGAGAGCCAATCCAGTCATACACTGCACCCATTTCATCACTTGCTCTAAAAGCCCGTCTTTGAATACCCAAGGTAACATGACGGACTGAGACAACAGCACGAGCTTCATTAACTACAGGTTCAGGAGGTAGTCTTCTCTTACGTGCAGCTTGCAACTCCATTTGCCTCTTGGTTGCCTCCTCAATCTCCAGCTTTTGTTTTTCTTTTGCTCGGTCAGCTGCCAGGGACTCTTCATACTCCCTGTCCTGTTGGGCTTTAATGGTCTCACGTTCAGCACAAGTGCCCATCAGTCCACCATGGTTGGCATCATCATTGCATTCTTTCTTAGCATGAACTTTGGTTGGCTTCCTATCCACTTCAAAAACCTCTGGCAACTCTGCGTCACACCCTTGACTTTCCTTTTCAACTGATCTTGTCATCAAATAAAGTCTGACTGTGGTCAGGGCATGGTTGGTTATGTATCTGGCCAAAGTGAAGTTTGCAAAGGATATCTGATCACCTTTGAAGTTTCCAAGTGTTGATGTCATGTCTTCAAATCTACCATAAAAGCTCATACCACCTGGGAAGAAAATTGATTTACCCAAAGCAATCAAATCACGAACATCTGAGCTACGTTCTGCTCTCACAGTTCTAGTCCCACCTCCTTTTGCAAGGCGAACTCCAACATACCTATTCTGTTGCGGGTCATAGTGCAGCCAGCCAAACTGAACTTTACGGTAGCCATTTATAATTTGGTTAGAGGGTCCTGGCTCTGTACTTGCCTTTTCTTCGGCTCTCTTTTTCTTTGGTTTTACCCTTTTTTTGAGGAGATCAAGCAGCTTTCTTTTCTTCTCATCTCTACTCTCACCTCGCAACTTTTCATTTACAAAGCTTCTTAAGGACAGCAGATCTCCCCTTCGCAATGGTCCTAACTCTTGCAATTGTTCATCTGAGGCAGTATTTACTGCCGAATAATCCATCTAAAAAATAGGAAATAGAAACTGCATTAAAATTATAAATGCCATCAATACAGCAACGTCTGAAAAAGGAATATTATTTCCTTCTATCTGGTTGATTCATTTTAACGAGTTTCAAACTTATTCAAGTCCATGAATTTGCATCTGACTGGATGGTAAAGATCTCTGACGAGTCTAATTAATGATTGTTTCCTGGCTGTTTATGTTTGATCCTTTCAATATTTCTATTTAAGGGTTATGCAACGCATTTTTGACGCATGCAAAGGTGGCTCAAACAGCGGTGAACTACAGCAGTGGGGAAGACAAGTTAGGATAGTTATTTATCGAAAAAACTATCGGGATGGTGATCATGTCCAGACAATTAAGTTCACTGCATACCTTCTCGTTCCTGAATCGAGCGATCACTTCGTCTCGAATCTCTCTTTTTGCGAGAAACTCGCATATCTATAAGCAGAAAAATGCGTTAAGTTGAAATCTGCGCTATTTTATGCAAATTTAGTGAATTCCAGTGAATACCGTGAACCTGAGAGTTATTTACCTCATTGATTTCGGTTTCGAGTTCCGCCATCTTCTCTTGAGAAGCAACTTGAGCCCGCATTACTTCGGTCGCTAAAAAGTCGCTAAAAAAGTCGCTAAAAAAGTCGCTAAAAAAGTCGCTTTTCTATATTAATTGATCTNGAAAACGTTCCTGTGATGTTCTCACATTTACAAGCATATGAGATATTATTGTTTCAATAAATCAATACAGACGTGACCAGGAAACGTATCAAAGTTACAATTGTTTATTGTAATGTGGTATGTCGAGTTGGTTTTCACATGCTGTGCGACTTTTTATGCCGCGACTAAAACTCATGGCAAATTTTGCATAACAAAAGGTAACTAAACAGGTTAACAACGCGAAAACGCAGCTATCTTTCATGCATAATGGTTCATTATTATTTATACCACTCAGTAAAAGAAAAAAATTAATAACACTTAATTTTAGTCACGCGTGTTATCGTCGTGGGGATAAATGAGCCAAGCGCTTGGTGTCTTTGTACAAAATTTGTGCAACATGCCCTGCTATCCGTTCCGTGTTTTAGGATTTGGGGTCATTTTCCGCCGTTCCGTGTTTTAGGATTTGGGGTCATTTTCCGCCGTTCCGTGTTTTAGGCTTTGGGGTCATTTTCCGCCATTCCGCCATTCTGCCATTCCGCCATTCCGCCGTTCCGGCTTTTAGGGTCCCCCGACACGACAGCCTGGCCATCATCCAACAGTGAGAATGAAAAAACAAGGCCTCTGTTGTGGGTTAAAGTAGCCCCATCCCCACTGAGCTTGACCTTGTGAAAGAACATTAAACTAGTCTTTAAGTAACATCTTCCTCAGATTAACAGTAGAAAATATGAAATGCATTTTTTAATGGAACAAAAGATATGGTAATATTGAAAGTACCTTGAAGACTTTATCCTCGGGAGCCTCAATGTTATTGGCTTCAATCGATTTCGATCGCTTTCTTTTATTTCTGTATTTATCATGGGTTAGGTAACCATTTTTTTGGGGTCTTGCATGGTATGTTGTTACAGTTGCTTCATTAGCGGTAGGCTACCTACAATATTTGAGGTGTTGTCTTTTATATTCGCGTCTTACGACCGTCCCCACGCCCTCAAAATTAAATGCCCAACGACTAGGTATTGTCAGTTTCTCTTAGAAGTAGTTATTTGCATATACGAACATAGTTTTGATTGTCTTGTGGGGTGGTTTTTCTTGCTTTATTATTATTTTTTTTTTTACGTTTGCGAGTTTTCATTCCGTTGATGTAGCATTCCTATCAATTTTGTTGATGAAGGCATTATAAAGAGGGTCGCCTACGGCTCGTGTTGACACACCCCAATTGTGGTTACTTATTGAATTATTGTTTGAGCGGGGGTAGCGAATTAGAATATAACTTTCTTTCTGTTGTGTCTGTGTCGCGTGGGTCTTTCCTCACGAAGAAACATGTAAACACGTGCATTCATTCAAGTTTTCCGCTAATTGCGCGTGCTTCGCGTGAGTACAATCGGCATTGCCGATCTTTATTCAAATTACAATTGATCAGTAACTGTCGGCCGATCTCCACCGATAGGTCAGCATTTGGTCGGAAAAATAACGTGAAGTACTGGGAACAAGGCAGGACATTTGAAAGAAAAACAAATATGGCGGCTGTAGTTGAAGAAATGTGGCTATCGAAACACGCTTTCTCAAGCTTTTTCTTTGCGAGGAAAAACCCACGCGGCACAGGCACAACAGAAAGAAAGTTAAAAAACCACAAGTTACTCTGGTTCCCGCTTTGAAAGGTTGTGATGCCTTTAAAGAGGGATAAAAGGCCTAAATATTTCGAGTGCTGCCCACAGCAGGATCGACTCTGTTTTAGTGAGGCTTGGTTGGTGAGATGTTCCAGGCGTGGATACCATACGATTTCAGGCAGGGAATGGAAGCGACAGATGTGAGAATAGTACGAGGGAAGAACCGTATTTTCGAGGTGATCGACATTTATTTTCAGGTGCTGCCCGTAAGAAAAGGGTCAGTGTCTCGATTTTATTCATGCCTTAACTTACCCACATCGATCGAATGCGCACAAAGTCTTCATATTTTCGCCATATTTTAAGATTTTACAGTTGATTGAGTCGACAGTGAGGCCTGTAGAGGTCCCGGATGTGACCGGAGATTCTAGGCGACGAGGAAAAATCAGATAAAAATTACCAGAAGCAAAGGCACTCTCACCCTAGATGACACTTTAGTTAAAAGTGCCGGGAGAGATATGCGAACAATGGACTGTTGGCGGTGCTGTAGACTAATTATTGAACTGTTTTGTTGGCCATTGGTTATAGGTTATAAAAAGTGTTATGATTGTCCGTTTCCTTTTCTT